CTGTTTCTCAAATACTTATTTTGCAAGTTTCTTTGTGTTCATATCTCAGGGTAAAGATGGTTTACAGTCTTACAGTCCCTAATGTAGAAGCCCTGGATTGTGTGTAAGGAACGACGGTGTGGAAAATCCACACGTATCTTTAAAATTCTCTTTCCATTACTGATGTAGTAATTTTTACTTTGCTGTGTCAGGCTCCTTGGGTTTGGACCTGGTGTCTTGACTTTATGTAGGTTTTTTATTCATTCCTTTTATTCGTTCTATTATATGATTATATTTTAGTTCTTTATTGCTTAGTCCTTTGGTTTTTGGTATTTTTCCCCTCTGCTTCCTACTTTAGTTATTTATGTTTCTAGTTCTTTGTTCCTTCGTCTGGTTAGTTCCCTTTTGTATCAAGTCTGTCTTGATCTTTTGTCTCCATGTTTGTTTCTCTGTCTGGTCTCCGTCACTGTATTTGTTTACTTTTCTGTCAGTGTCAAGTCAGCAATTTCTATTTCCTGCTTTACTTTGACAGCTTATGTTCCTGTGTCGGCTATAGTCTCGACTGTGTGTCCTTCTTAAAGTCTTAGTTTAGATGTCTGGAAAGAAGCTTCACACACTAATCAGGGATTATTACCAGCTGTTTTCATGTGACAAAATAGCAATATTCCTAATGTTATATTATTTAAAAAAAAATCATTCCATCTAAATATTTTACTGAATTTCTTAACACACAGCTCATATCCAGTAATGGAGTATGTAATCCACATTTATGTAATGAGCAATTATAAACCTGAGAAAGCAGAAATATTTTACTGTTTGTTGCCATTTTACGGGAAATAAGGAAGCTGGTCTTTCCATAGAAACATAAGCCATCAAAAAGTATTTGGTGGTTAAAATGGGACAAATTGCATGATATATGTTGTTTGTTTTGAATTCTAACATGCCATTGACCTTCAAAAAGCTGTTCAGACACAGCAATGGGCCAGATGTGACCCGGGGGCCATTCAGTGCTCAGGTTTCCTCTGAACAGATTCATCCTGCCTGCTCTCCATCACTCCATCTGTAAGGAAAATCTCTCCCAGCCAACAACTCTCCTGGCATTTATTCACTTACCTGGGATCATCTGATTACCTGATTGTTTTCTTAGAGTTGTAGGTAGTTTTCTGTGACTTTGCACAGGCTGTAGTAAAAAAAAACAATTGTAGTCTTTTATCTCTCTCAGTATTTTGTCACCTTTGACTCTCTTGTGTAGAACATTGGGTAGCGACACTATCACAGTCCTGTTTGTGCGTGTTGCAGCATTTTTTACTGTACAAAAACCAAACGTGGTTACAAACTTACCATACTGCTCTAAGCCTGATGAACTGTCTCACTCACCTGTCAGTTTTCAAACATTTTTTCACAGTGTCAGTCTGTGGTTGTGAAAGTGTCTGCTAACTCGCTGCTGTCAGAGCATTTTCTTTTCGTCATATGTCATAATGAAAGTCAGTACTTTATTACATTTGCAATCTGTGCTGTGAAAGTGTGCGAGATGTTTTTGTTTGGTTTTTATTACTATTTCTATTAATAATAACTGAATTTCCTTGAACTGTAGAGTTTTGTCATGTCTTTGTGAAAGTATTGGTGCAGTAAGCTCTTCAGTGCTGGACAGAAACTCAAAGTAGTACTTTTATTGAAGTATGCTGATACATAAGATTTTCCATTATATTTCTCTGACAATTATTCTTGTTAGTTATTTGATTGTATACTGTTAGATCATTAAAAGTATATATGATTATATATCAAACAGATTTCACACAATTTATTTTAAAAAAGCAGTGTGTTTTTCCACCACACTAGTTTAATTTTTATAAGATATTTCAGAAAGCAGCACATGGGTTAGTTTGACTAATATATCCAGCAAGGGTAAGTTTGTAAAGTTTATGTAACATACCATCCCCCCCACACACTACAATAAAAATAAAAATGAGCACTGAAACTAATAAAGATGAAATGAGCAAAGCTAGATTACAAACAGGGGGAAACTGAGAATTAACAAAAATGTGTTAACAGTGACCTTAAATCTTCCAGTAGTTGCCGAGATATTTCACTATTTCTGACAAAGTTTCATACATTTAAATGCCACAATTGTCTATGCTAAATATAATTGCAAATTAGATGAGATTAATGAGATTTCACCAAAAGGATGGACAGATAAGTCAACTTCTAGTGTAGCTTTAAAGAAAATTATAGATGTGTTTTGCATGATTTAGTCAGTGCATTGCAATGCAGGAAACTACAAGTAAACTCAGATGAGATTAGCAACACTGCTTCAGCTGAAGGCAAAAGTAACACTAATAAACACTCATTACAACCAAGGTACACTGAAACACACAACACAAGACCACACCGGGTGCCACTCCCGTCAGCTGAGAACAGAAACTAAAGCTACAGTTTATATATTCACCAAAGTTGAACAAGTGAGGAAATTATGAGTCTTGAGTTCTGCTGTGGCATTGAGATGGTGGGTCAGAAGTTGTCATAAGAAGAAAGCATGGATCTATTGCACCTCTTATAATTGGTTCTGGCTGGTGCTGTTATAGGATTAAATTGCAGTAGCATCAGTAACTTCAGGATTTGATTTATACAGAAAACTTCACCAATGATTTTTCTGTTCTTCTGTTTGCATTAACTGCAAGCTTATATGACATCTGTCTAAATGCTCCTGATGTACGTTTTGCCTTGAAACATTTCCACTTCAACCGGATTGTTTCTGTAATTGTTCAAGGAAATGCACTCCCATAATTATGAGTTCAGGAAGCACCACCCTGATAAACACAAGATATCTGAAAACTCTTGGGGAACAAGAGAGAACAAAGCATCATCTGTGACATCCTTCATGACCAACATGCTCGCTGGGTGTCACCTTGCTGAGTCATTAAAATTTTGAAGCTGGAAATCAAACATGAGATGTGGAATCTTGTCTGTATATATGCCCCAAAAGCTGGATGCAAGTTAGATGAGAGAGGGGAAGTCTGGAGTAAGATGAATGAAGTGGTGCAGAGTATTCCCAGAGGGGAGAGAGTGGTGACTGGGACAGACTTCAGTGGACATGTCAGTGAACTGAACAGAGGTGATGAGAAAGTGTTGGACAGGCATTATTTTAAGGAGGAGGAATTGGGATGGACAGATGGTGGTGTATTTTGCATAAAGAAAGGAAATGGATGTGGTGAAGAAAAGGGAGGAACATAAAAGTGGAACAAGGTGCAATCTAAAAGCGATAGCAAAGTGGTGTCAGGGGAGAATGAAGCTAGACAGCATCGAATGGTAGTGTGTGTAGGATCACTTTGGAAACCAAGAAGAGGACGAGAGTAATTATAGGATAAAATTGTTGGTTACACGTTGCACAGAGTTTGGGGAGGAGTATAAACAGGCTCTGAGTGGTATGGAAGTGTTGCCAGCTAGAGCTAGAGCAGGAGCAGATGAAAGAGAGCAGGAGACATGATAAGAATATATGTATGTGAATGAAAGTGAGGGAACTGAAATGATAAAAATGTAAGAATAGTGCACAAGATACGTGAAGAAGAGATTGGAGGAAGGGTTGAGTGGTTGGAGATGAGAGTCCGGGGGATTTGTGACAGGAGGACAGCAACAAGAGTGAAGTGTGATTTATGATTTATGGTTTGAAGACTGCATTGACAAAAAGACAGGAGGCAGAGCTGGAGATGCTGACATTTTCATTGGGAGTGAGCAGGATGAACAAGATTACAAATGAATATATCAGAGGGACAGTTCAGTTTTAGAGGTAAAGTTAGAGAGGCAAGACTGAGATGGTTTGGGTGTGTGCAGAGGAGGGATAGTGGATGTACTGGACAGAGTATGCCAAAGATGGAGCTGCCAGGCAGGAAGAAAAGAAGAAGACCACATAGAAGATGTGAAGAAGGACATGCAGAGGGTTGGTGAGACAGAGGAGGATGCTGGGAATAGAGTCAGATGGAGTAAGAGGATCAGCTGTGTATATCCCTGAAATGAAGCAGCTGAAAGAAAAAGAAGATAGTTTCCCATGTACAGTTTCATCAGTGATATTGTGTAAACACACTTTATTGTCATGTCTGAATGCTATTTACTTTACACTAGGCACACATATTTTGCAGGCAATTTTCCAGACGCCATAAAGTTTGATTTTGTGTCTGTCTTTAAACTAGTGGTGACACGGTTTGTACTGATTGGTTGCAGAGTTGAAGGGATTGACTGACTTTGCTTTGACATGTATGAAAAAGGTTTCAATTTTTTTTGTGTGTCTTTTGCAGAGATGATTCTGTTATGAAAAAGCCTCAACTGTTTTGAAAATGACACAAATGATACAAATGATGTTGTGCAGCAATTTAACAGTCAAGTCAAGTTAAGTTTTTATTTGTATAGCACGTTTAAAAGACATCAAATGTCGGCCAAAGTAGTCAAAATAAAAAGAGAAATTATAATAAATGAGGTAAAAAAGATTACAAGACATTCATTTATACACAAGCATACTCATTATATGCAAATGTCTAACAACCATGTGTGTGTGTGTGTGTGTGTGTGTGTGTGTGTGTGTGTGTGTGTGTGTGTGTGTATATATATATATACACATACATATATGAAGATAGGGAGGTCTTCAAGTTTGATTTGAACACTTCCAAATTTAAAGGCTAATTGCATTACATCAATTGAGCACATGAGGTCCCCATTGCGCTGAAGCTTGTTCTGCAATCTGCATGAGCCAGTAGCAGAACAAGCTTCTACTGGCTCATGGAAGAAATATTCACAGCCAACAATTGATTTTGGAACCAACAGCCAAAAGACCCAACTAAAACTTTTGATTGCAAATAGCCCTCAATACCTTTCACAGAGGTACACCATCAGGAGAAACAAACCAGGCAAATATATGGAGCGCCGTGGTGGCCAATCATATATTGCAGTGACAACTCTAACACCCATTAAACCTTCCACATTTTGGGCCACTGCTGCCCCAAAACACCTTTAAGTGGTGTCCCTTCTGGGAATGTGCAATGCAGGAGTACTTCCTGTGACTTCCTCTCTTTAGGCAAATTGTGAAATTGTAAATTGAAAAACTTTGCTGTAATGCAAAGATTGGCCAATGTTTGCTCTAAACCACCGAACCAAGCATGCATTTACTACCCTTTCGGCAGGCATGCATTGAGACAAGAAAAAAAAAAAGCTTTAAGGGAAATATAGACCAGTAGCATCTTGTAGGCTTTACTTTATGTATCCATTGCTATGAAGATGTAACTGTTGTAATGAGTAATGTAAAAGAGTATCTTCATTTGAAGTGTAACATCCTGAGTCTCTTTATGCTTGTCAGCGGAGGATGAGGTACATTTCAGGATGGTTTGAACTCGACATCACTGCAGAAAAGATCTTGTACCTGCACGTGTAACAGTTCAGTACTTGCTTTTATTCTCTTTGTTTTCATCAGGTTGATTTCAAATTTGTTTTTGTCAAAGTAACTAAATTTGAAAAAAAAAATGAGCTAGAAATCTTAAATTAAACCAGCTGTGAGCTCACCTCTTTCAGTCTAACATCACTGTTTCAACTGTATCTGAAAGACAGAATCGTTTTATTAAAAGGAAATGAAACGAGACTAAAGCCATAAAATAAATTGCTGCTCTGTATTAGAAATTCAGAGAAGTAGAACTCACCTGTGTAGACCCGATGCTCAAAGACAACGTTACGTCTGAGTGATAAAAATAGAGATTTGTGATTGGCTATGGTTTCAGTATCTGATTTCAACTGTAAATGTTTAGTTAAATACATTTAAAAAATGCTGTTGTGATACTAATATGTCATGATAAAAATCCTCATCCTGGAGTTTTATGATTGGTTACAGTATAAATACCTGATTTCAGCAGTGAATTTTCTCAGCTATAAATATTGACTTGCTGACAAACGTTGCACAGTAATATTTAATAATGACACATTCTTGGTCCTGGAAGAAATATGCTTTCTAACAGCTCACAGACACAGACAGACACACACACACACTTGTACAAACCTTCTTCTTCTAATTATGAAATAAGTCGTGCCTATCATGGCACCATTTATCAGCAAGAATACTCCAAAAGCGATCAGTTTTGGTAATCTCGCCATCTCACCTTGGTATCGTTATGGGAGAAACACAACAATAAGATTATAACCTCAGACACATGATGTAAGGTAATAGTTCTGATGTTGCTATTTAATAATTCAAACCTATGAGAGTAACTGTTTTTCAAACAAATCATGTTGTTGAACTATTTCCATGCAGCCTTTGTTCCTAAATATTTGCACGGATGTGACGAGGTTAGCACAGTCGCCTCACAGTAAGATTACAATCCCATAGTCCAAATGCATCCTTTCCAAATGCATGGGAATTAGCAAAAGTCAAAAGTATAACTTTAGCAAATGTTGAGGGTTCTTTAAAAATATTAATTTAGTGTTTCTGAATCAAGCAGATCAGATAACTTTACTTACCTTCAACAACAAGTTTGGTGATTCTTTCAAATTTACCACTGGGAAAGGCGGAAATGCTGCAGGTGTACAACCCCGCGTCTTCCATTTCCACAGCCTTAATAATCAGCGATTGTCCTGCCAACTTCACCCTCTGGCTCAGTGGAGAATTGGGAATATTCAACCCAAGCTGACTGTTATAAACAATAAGGGGGACTCCCTCTTGTTCTGGTTGCAGGAGAGTCCACTGAACCTGAGTAATATTTGTATTCTCTGGCTGATGGTTTAATTGGCAGGGCATGGTGACATCATTTCCAATAAATGCAGACACTTCAGCCGAGGCTTTGAGTTGTTTTGCACCCAGAACTGCCAAAATTAAATTGTGACATGGTGGCAAAATGTTAGGGCTAAAAAAGCTGCTTTTTTCCACTATTATTTTAGTAATAACGTTAATTCTAATAACATTTATTCTAGAATATACTGTGCAGAAAATAAGTACAAACATAAGAGTCTTACCTGTGTGTAATGAAATGTAAATAAGCGTGAACAGCAGGTGGGATATTCTGTTGCAAATTTTCATCGTGCACAACAGGCAGCGGACAAAAAAGAAGACGTCTTAGGAATCACAGTGTTCCTGATTTGGTCCACTTTGATGTTAACACAAAGTCTGGCAGCAGGAGACTCAAATTGATACAACATGTGGCAAACACCGAGAAAAAGTGTTGGCAAAGAGAACCACAATGACAAAGTGTGAGTAAGCACACAGAGTTCCTCTTTGTCCAAACCAAACAAAGAACAAAGCAAAATTAAAATTAAATTAAAACAACACAACCAAAAGAGAATTTAGAAGTAAAAGAATAAATAAATCTTTAATTGGAGATTTTGTTTTTTATTTGTGTTTTTTATTTGATGGGATGCAAGGAAATAAGAAAATAAGTGTTCAACAGATTGTGATGTGTAATAGTTCTGTTTGTAATTATCAAGTTTTATATATAAAACTTAATTTTTCCACAATTTAATTTAAAAAGCCAAACTTTAGATGCATATAATCTATAGGCATTAGATCCAAAGTGGAATAATTAAACCCCTTTTTGATGATTATGGCTTCATTAAAATCAGGAAACAGTGTCTCAAATCTTTAGAACAAGTTCCACAAAAACTAGTTTACAATACAGAAGTGTCCAACTTGTGAAAAGTTTATTTATTTATATGCTCACCACTACTTCATCAGTGTGCCATAGCATGAAGATGATCAGCATGAGGCACTGGGTGTTCTGACAGAGGCCTTACGCTCAACTGTAATTCGGAGTCGGGTGTTTCTCATCTTCCTCTTGATAACATGTCGCAGCTTCTCTGTGGGGTTCAGTTCATGTATGTTGGATGCTGCGTCCTGCTGGAGAAAGGAAATCAGCATCTTCATAAAGCAGGTAAAGCCATGAAGTAAGTGTCCTGGTAGTTGGCTGTGTTGACTGTGTATTCACTTTAGACACATCAGCAGATCACATGGCACCCAAAATCATCACAGACTGTGGAAACTTCACACTGGACTTCAAACACTTGGATTCTGTGACTCTCTGCTCTTCATTCAGACTCTAAAATTTGATTTCCAAATTAAATGCAAAATTTCTTTTCATCTGAAAAGAAGACTGGATCACTGAGGACCAGTTCAGTTCTTCTCCTCAGCCAGGTGAGGCTTGTCACATTGTCCCTTGCTCAGCATTACTGGTTAACATGACTTTCCTGAAGATGTCTGTGTGTGGTGACTCTCGATGCACTAACACCAGCCTCAATTCAATCTTTATGAACCTCTCGCAAGTTCTTCACTCAACTTTTCTTGACAATTGTTTCAAACAACAGACATCACTGTCACCTTTCCAAGAACTAATTAAAATACTTCCAATGTACCTAAAAGACAGTCAGTATATTTTGGTACAGCGCTCTGCAAACAGCCTCTTTAGCTATGACCTTACCACCTTTGTGGAGGGTCTTGATGACCGTCTTCTGGACAATTTTCCCATTACTGTTGCGGTGTGTTCTGAACTAAACCAAGACACATGTTGTATTTATACTGTATGCGCAGAAATTCACTTAAATTCAAAATGAGCTCTTCTTGAGTCTTATTCCTGTCTATGTCGGTGGGTCCTTTATTTTCTTCTCCAGTCATGACAGCCAGTTTCAATTTGGTTGCAAAGTTTTGAGACTTGAATAGTAATTGCAAGTAGACTGTTTGGTTGGTGCTCATTTTTTTCTTTCTTCTTTTCTAAATCCTCAAACGTAACAACAGCCTTAAACACACACAAAACATGTAATACAGGACTAGATTGTGGTTGTGAAAGTGAAATTTGCTGGACGTTTATTCTGTTTAAAGGTTTTCTCTTTGACTTGATTGTTGCTTGCTTCTATACTGTTAGATATGTTGGATCAAGGAGTGTTTTTGGTTGCAGGTAGTTTTCCATGACATGGCGCAGGCTGTAGTCGTAACAAAAGCTGTACTCTTTTATCTCCCACAGTATTTTAATTCAAAACATTACTTAAAGATTATGTGAAAATCCCGCCTGCAGGTGTTGTAGTGTTTTTTACTGTATGAAAAAAAGGGTGAAAATGTGGTTTGCAAACATACCACGCTGGTCTGTACCTGACAAACTGTCACCTGCTGGTTTTCAGACAGCATTTCCTCACAGTGTCAGTCTGTGGGTGTGAAAGTGTCTGCTCGCTCAGTGCTGTCAGAGCATGTGTGAACAAAATCAGTTTTTCTTGTTGCAAAGTAATTTCGAAGGCTCATTTGAGCTGAATTTGTTGTGTGCGTTTTCATACTGAAAGTCAGTTCTTAAGAAATTTGATTATCTTTATAACCTGTGTTGTGAGAACAGAGTTGTGTTTTCTATGTAGCTGTCTCTAGATTGGCAGAAAAAAAACTCTGTTGCTAAAGTTTGGACAGATCTGACAGGTTGTGATTTTTTGAGTTTTTCCCTGTGAATGAGATAGCATGGGGGCTGTGCATTACTCAGTGTTGGAAAGACAGTGAAAAATGTACATTAATGGAATTTGCAGTTAAGTTGTATACATCCTATCATTACTTTACTATATTTTTCTTAACTAGTTTTAGTCCAGCAATGACTAAAAAACACCCACTGATAAAAGTTAAACCAACAAAGACTTTTGACTAAATATTTATTTTATTCTTTTAAATAAAAGAAATTAAAAGGAGTTAAAAGGGAATTTTTCCTTCCCACTGTCACCATAGTGCTTGGTCATAGGGGGTCATACGATTGTTGTTTTTTCTCTGTATGTATTATCGTACGATCTACCTTACAATATAAAGTGCCTTGAGGTGACTGCTGTTGTGATTTGGCGCTATATAAATAAAATTGAATTGAACTGAACTGAATAACCTCCGGATATTTTAGCAAACAACCCATGGATTCATAACTATTAGATTATTATATAAAATAAATGTTTTTAGAAACAGTGCATAAAACACCCTCCACACAGACTCAAATCTCGAAATTACAAAAGAATATGTTTGGCATTATTTACGACCCAAAAGCAGACATGTGCTGTTTCTCCAGTCTGCAACAAATTGTTTAATGAATTTTGGAGCAATTACAGAAAATTCTTCCTCAATGTTGAATTATGAAGACTTTGCATTATGTGGTCTATATAATATCAAAAGATTCAGACAATCTGAAGAAAACTCTGTACAAAACAACAAAGCTGATGATCAGGATTGACCCATGTCTATAATCTTCAGACTCTCAGGCAGCACTGCATTAAAAACAAGGATGATTCTCACACAACATTTCTAGAAGTTGTTGTCTGTAGAAATGTAGGTTATCATTGCAAAGAAGAAAGTCATATGTGAGCATGACCCAAAAACATCATCATCTTCTCTGGGCCAGTGCTCATTTATAGTGGACTGAGGGAAAGTGGAACTGTTCTGTGTAACGCCGAGAAGGCCTTGCAGATTTCAGCAAGACAATGCTAAACTGCATACTGCAACTATTAAAACAAAAACTGTAGTAGAAGAGTCTGAGAGTTTATCTCGTCTGCCTGCATCCTTTAGGCAGCTGAAAACGTTTTGTACATCATGGAAAGAAAACTACCACAAAAAAAGACCCAAGAATTCTTTTTCAGACATGAATGGGACAACATCCCTCTCACAGAAGTCCAGCAGCTGGTCTCCTCAGTTGCCAGTTGTTTACTGACTGCTGTTCAAAGAAGAGGGGGCGCTACTGAGCGGTAAAAATGGCCCTGTCCCAACCTTTTTTAGGCACGTTGTTAAAATGAAATAAAAGTACACATTTTCTCAATATAAGCATTTCATACATTTTCTATATTATATATTTTTGGATAAATTTACATTTACATATTGTCCCAATTTATTTGGAATTAGTGTTTTGTTTTGTTTTTTGTATTGCAGGGACAAAAAAGAACAAACAGCCACAGTGAGCTACTTTCTGCAAGCCTCCAACATTTTATCAATGCAAATAACTTCTTCTTTTACCATGATGCAGTGAAAAGCTTCTATGGTAATCTCCACTACTGCAAAAACAAACTGCACCTGATTTTAATTCTGCAGTGTTTATATTGTATGTATTTCTGCAGGAGATTTAAGTAACACAGCCAACTCCTTTTATCCTGCAGAGGAGTGCTGCCACTAATGCCACAGAATACAGAAAGTTATTTTTCCTTTGAAAACCATCAAAGAAGAAGTTGAAGATTAAAGTAGAAAATTACACAATCAATAGAGAAGGCACTGGGCAATGAAGAAACCAGTATGTCATGCCAATGTTTACGTGGCAAATACAATGGAAAGTTAACTTGATTATTTATGATATGAAACTTTACTTCTGCAGCTTTAAATCAAATACAAGAAATGAAATGAAAAGATGGAGTGTATGGTTTGTAAGTTTTGTAAAGCTGCAGTCTGTTGTGAAGAACATTGCTCAGTATAAAAGTCACAATCCTGTCCTCAGGTGTTGCGTTGTGAGTGTAATTTTTGTTAAAATATAGTTTGCAAAGTTTCTGTAATGGTGCAGCCGTGTACAGAACACCATCATTATCACCGGCAGTTTTCTAGCATTTGCTGTGTTATTTCACTGAGGGTATGAAATATTGTCTGCAGTAAACTTTTATTTCTTTATATATTTATTTGCTGTTTACAATATTAAGCTCTTAAATCAAAGTTTCTTTATTTACTATTTAATGTTTTGGTTTTTATGGTTGTTGTTTTGTTTTGTTTTTTGACAAATTCAAGAAACTTCAATGCAGCGCTTTATCTGTCATTTAGTCCCATAGAGAGTGCATAGATCTGCTACCACTATACTTTT